TTTCAGCTTCTACATAGAGTGTAAGCATCCAAGGCAGTGTCTTGTGTCAAGACCGTCAGCGTCTCTCCATCTCTACCTAAGCTTAGGTTCTGATATTACTTTAAGCGGAGCCCACAGGATGAAGGGCCAGCAGGGGAACAGAGACAGCCAAGCCCCAGGGTGGACTGCTGGCAGTGCAGGGACTGAAGCTCACACTTCTACCTCTTAGCCTTCCAGTGTTTCCTCTTACTCTTCTTTTCCCTTGCATTTGAGATTTCATAATGTTGTGAGATATACAATAAGCAAAGAGTTTGAAGACCTTGACTCACATCTCAGCTGTTATGTACTAATTGTGTTGTACAATTGTGACTTTGTCAAGTCAGTTTTTTTTATGTAGAGTCTTAATGTTCACATCTATTTAATGAGAATAATATCTGTACTTTTTGCTTTTCTGGGAATGTTACAGTGTTTAATGAGACTTGTCTCTATAAACGGTGCTATGCAAATATAAAAAAGTATTTAAAAGCCCTGTTCTCACATTTCCCTGTGTTTTCTATCATGTGTCTTCAGATTCCTCATCCTGTGTTTTGAGTTTTTCAGGGTCCCTTTTCAGAACTCTCCCTTCGCCCCTCAGGATGCTACATCTCAATAATAACCCTTTACTCCTAGCCTCTGACTAAGAAATTAGCATGGGAGGAAAAAGAAAAGTCTTATTGTATTATTAAAATTATACCCATCTTTGAAAAAAAATAGAATTACCCAGCAGAACATTTTGTCAAGTACTTTCTAACATTATGTTTTGCAATGATCTCAAATGTTTAAGAACTGTGTAAAAGTTAAGTAAAAGAGATGTCTGAAGATTACCCCCACATGCGCTTGAGTCATCAGGCCTAGTCATTGCCATCTCCCCAAAATTTCCATGAAAAAAATCAAATTATTTTAGAGAACACTGGAAACTGTAACTATGAAGCTAAGTAGTGTGGGACAACCCTGCGTTCTTCTGTGGTGGTGAGAAAATAAAAGATGAAACAGATCCAAGTTTAAGTCCATGGCTTGTGCTGTCTGTGTGGCTTTGTCTTAATATCTCTAAACAAGGTTACTTGTTCCGTCTGGGGAGAAAAGGTCAATGTTTGTCCCAGTGGGATGATTGGTTATGATTCTTCCTTAGTTTGCATCTTTTGGTTTTGTGGGACAGAGACCACACAGGTGACCCAAGCAAAGATGTTTAACTATAAAGAGGTATGAAAGAACAAAGGCACTGTAAGAGCAGGAAGCACGATGGCATTGGTCTCACTAACTCTAGGCTCTGGACCCCCTCCTGGCTAACTCAGCAATGGAAGTTTGCAGAACCTCACCCTGGTGCAGGCTGTTGGGTTGACTCCTGGGTTTTCTTTTCTTTCAATTCCCCTACCTACTGGCCTTTCCACTTAACATTTCTTGAAAGTTCAGGTAACTAAACCCCTGTAGCTCAGTTCTACCTTTTGACATCCTTTCTTTTAAGTTGTTCTCTGGCTGCCGAATACCCAGTTTGTAGCTTTTGAGAGCACACTCAGATCTTAAACCACATCATCTGTTCATATTACTGAACGGACTCTGGGCTAGATTGTGAAAAGCCACTGTTCCAACACTGGGCCCACCAGTGGTGCAGCAGCTGTCAACAAGGGGGAAGAGACAAGGAGTGACAAACATGGCCCTGGGACACACCCCTTTCCCTGGATGGAGGGTGAGGAAGTTCCCATGGAAGTGGGGTGTGTTGCGTAAAGCTTCGCCCTTGTGCTCTGCTTGAATTTAAATACTGTTTTGACACTTTCTAAAGATGTAACCTTAAGTGAGTGGCTTAATCTAACTCTGTCAGTGGTTTCTACATCTGAATAATGGGTAGGATAATTCATACCTCATGGGAGTATCATTGATTCTTAAATCACAAAATTAAAGGACTTAGCACAGTTCCTGCCACACATTAAACCCTCATTAAATGCTAGCTGTATCCACATCAGAAGGAGGCCAGTGCAGGCACCATGAAGTAGGTGTGATAGAACAGCTAGAGGCACTCCATTAGCAATCTCTTACCTCCTTGATATTGAGACGAACGCCATCGCCCATCCGTCTCTCAGGATGTACCTGCTTCCTGAAAATAGGCGGCATTCACCAAGACCTGTGGAAGCACTGAAAGGCTTCCTGAGGAAACAGGAAGCCACAGCCTCTTATCAAGTCAGTCTTAGCCTTTCTCACTGTGATTTAAGTAGCTGGCTCTCTTCTCTGTTTATAATTACCAGCCCATTCATGTTGGATGTTGATTGGAGACGCCCAGTTGAGCAGCTAATAAGAGGGATGAAGCCTTCTCCAGGGGGCCGCCATGTTTGCAGAACTGTCAAGTAATTTCTTCTGGCATTTCTTTCTCAGGGCCTTGGGAAATCTTCAGTTTTCACACAAAGGAAAACACAGTGAGCTAAAATATGTGTGGAATGAGATGCGGTGTTTGATTTGGGACGTAGAAATTCCTTTTATTGTTATACAGCGATTTTATTTATTTGGTTGGGTTGGAAAATGGACCATTTCACGGAAGTGAAGTTTATAGATAGCGGGAGGGAGTTTTCCCATGTCAGCTCTGAAACTATTTTTAACCCCTGTTTAACCAGTCTTCCTAAAATATTTCACACATTTCTCACCTTCTTTGTTGAAGACTTGCATCGAAAGGCTAACAACCATTGAATACTGTGTACTTGGTGCCATGCTTGAGGGCCTGAGTTCCATTAATGTTCATACCAACACTGAGAAGTAGGTACTGTTAGAACCCCCATTTTACAGACGTGGAAACTGAAGCACAGGTTATGGAACCTTATCGAAGGTTACATAATTATAGAAGTGATAGGATTGGGATTTATACCCAGGTCTCCCCAAGCTCTTATAAATGACCATGTTGTTGAAGAATATTTGGGATAAAAATTGACCCAAAAAACTACTCACTATCAAAGTAGGACCCATGGAAGTCTACACATGCACTTCAGATATCCATTCCTCATTTTTAAACGGAATTAGTACTCACACTGGAACCTCATTTTTATATTGATGACTGTTCCTCCACTCAGCAGATGGTACTAGAGTACAGACTACACCATTTTATCTCGGACCCATTGCCTCCCGCACACTCTGGAAGCAAGGAAATTTGAGGCAAGCAGCTGCCTTCAAGGGGGCCACCTTTAAGAGATGCACTGGCTAGGGCAAGATGAAACTTGCCTGATCTCTGGTAGGAGAACCTTGAGGTGTGAATTTTGACACCCTTCATCCGTCTTTGAGTAAGGCGTCTTCTGCCTTTGTGCATCCCTGTAGATGAGACTAATGAGTGAGACTGGCGAGTAGAGATAGAATTGCAAGGGGTGATAAGAATATACAATAAATGTTTAAAATTTTAAAAATGTATTACAATAACAAACCATCCACCCCCCTCATCTGTTTCAAACACACTTATCCCATTGTTCTTGCTATCTTCTGAAGCATTCCAGAAGTCCTCTTTAATGAGTGTCTTTACAAGTTGTGATCAAGAACAAAGTGAACGCTGCTGCTGAGTGCCATTCAGTGGAAAGGCAGGATCATAAAAACGTTACTGTGTGTCCTCATCCACCTTACTCACCAGATCTGGCACTATGCAACTTCTTGTTCTTCCTCGAAATAAAAAAGACCATGAAAGGTCAATATTTTGAATTGATTCAGGCAGCCTCAATAGCACAACTGAAGACGCTCACAGAAGAGGACTTCCAGAGCTGCTTCAGAAAGTGACAAGAATGGTGGGATAAGTGTGTTCAAGGTGAGGACACGTTTTGAGTGGCAATTAATGGCAATGTGTCTTTTACTGTAATAATTTTTACAAGTTTTAAACATCTACCATATTTTTCAGTCACACCTCATAAATGTTCCCTTGGCTCCAAACAGACCAAGGAAGAATAGGCAAGACGTATACTTAAAAATAGTTCCAGTTGTCTAGCTTGGAAAAGCAGCTGTGTCCAGATGCTAATGGGCCTTGAGTCAGACAGAAGAATTTGGTTTCTGTAATCTCAGTCTTTCTTAGGTAGTGGCTTATGAAAAACAAGAAGCACCTCAGAGCCACATCTGTTGGGAAAAATGCATGCTCAAAGGGATGTGTTTCTTCATGTGACTAGCAAAAGGGTGCTAAGTGCAGTTCCCAAGACTAGTTCTAAAAAATAAAACAGATTAGTACATTGGTGTCCTCACTAGAGTGAAGTATATGGTTTCCATGGCGATGACTTTGATGTAATTCAATAACGTTCTTATTTCAAAAGTAATGTGTTAATAGAAAATACCTTGTAACTTCTCTCATCCAAAGGTCACTTACATTTTTGAAACAAACGCTCCAGCGTTTCCATCCCCCTGCAGCCCTCCCTGCAGTCTCTTTTCTGAGTCTCCCTTCTCCCACTCACGACTCATATTCACCATGATGGGTGCTGTTTATGCATGAGGCTGGTGTAAGTGTGGCAGATGAGTGAGGAGAGATAGTTGGCTGTTTTGAGACCTTTTAAATTAGTTGTCCTTTCTCTTTCTCTCTTTGTCATTGTTTGGCTGGTGGCCACTGTGTCTGGCTTCCTTCCATGTGTGTTTCTAACCACTTCCTAGGGCATTATTTTTTTTAAACCTTTGATTAAGTGCTGGAATGTCTAATGACCAGACTTGTCAATATGTGTTTTCAAAGTAACATTTCTGGGTAGGCACTGAGAAAGGACAAAGAGACTATATTTTGAATTAGAATGTAAGCTGCAACTATTTTTACTGTCAGAAAAGCATTATTCATCTGCCTAGAGATAACTGAATTGTATATCTAACCAAGAGGCATTACTATTAGGGACACTCCGGCTGAAAAAAAAAAAAAAAGGAAAGAAAGAAAAAAGGGAGGGAGGGAGGGAGGGAAGGACAGCAAGGGATGGGGCAGAGAAAAGAGCCAGGGTACTACACGGTTGGTTTTGAATGTCATTTTGAATTTCTCTTTTTCTCACATCTGCTGTTCACAGTGGCTTGAACTTCATCGACTTGATGGTGAGACAGGGGAATATAGACAACCCTCCCAAGACTCCCCTGGTGCCAGGATTTGAATGTTCCGGGATTGTGGAAACTCTGGGGGATGGCGTGAAAGGATACGAGGTAATGTTTTCACTTTGACTGAAAGAGTAATATTCATCTGGAACCCATTGAGACAGTAAAAGATTATGCAAAAATGTGTTTGAAATAATCGAGGCCATGTATTATTAGGGTTGGCCTATTATGTGGTTTTTATTAACAATGTTTACAACAATAGGACTTTCCAAAGATCTCGTGAATTCCTGTGTACTAATTTGGTTGCTCCTAGCGACACTTTAGCTAAGTGGGCAGAACAGATCTTGTCTTCCCTTTTATTCGTGTGATACAGATATTAAATATTTGGCTTTGGATTCACCAAATGGACATAGCTCCTTGTCCATTTATAGCTCCCATTTCCCTTATCTTGGGCTCAAAACTCAAAAGATTACAAAACAAACTCTGTATTTTATAATTTGGTTCCTTCAAATATTTACTTAACTGATAAATTTAAGTTATTTATAAATTCCTAACTGTTTCAAGAATGAGAAGAGTCTCATTTCTGGATCAAATAAATAGTCGTCAAAGAGGAGAGGTCCCTAACAATGGGTCAGAATTGACTATGATTGATGGGTTTGTGAGTAGGACAATGGGTTAAAAAAAAGTTCATTATATAATTTTGGCTACTTTTGTACATGCTAAAAATTCACCATAATAAAACATGTTTTAATTTGTGGAAAGATACATGACCCTTCCTGCCATTATAATGCAAAGCAAATAGAATTGGGTATGTAAAAACCAGGACACTGTGGACAAATCAACTGCATAAAACTGTGGTAGCTTGGAGCCAGAAAAACCAATGTGAACCAAGTACAAGCGCTTCTCATAACTAAGTTCTCCCTTAGGGTGGATTGAAGGGAGCTAACCCTTGGGAACCCACCAGAACCATAGGAAAACTATCTTGTTTTCAGCCTTAACAAAACCCTGCAAGGTAAAGACTGTCATTATCCCCTGAGGTTTAGAATAGTCCTGCGATTTTCTGTGAGGTCGGGAGGGTAGTGCGTAGTAGCAGAACCCGGATTCAGGTCACCACAGCTTTTCTACTCTTCTGAAATCCATGGTGTTTACCCCTGGTCCCAACCCCCAAATGCTGCAGCGCTAAATGCAAGAAAAACGAACTGAAGCAAAATCCTATAAAATTCAATGCTGAAGTGCCCTTCGAGTAAAATTTCAGCCTGCTTCTCAGTCTCAATGCCTCTGAGCCTCAGTAGCCTCTGAAAATATCAGTATGCTCCAAATTCATTAAGATGACTGTCTGGAAGTCTTATCGTACTTATCAGTCTTATTGTTACTGGTTTCCAGATAACCAGCAGAAAAAAAAATGTTGAGAAAGAAGTAGCTGAGCTGTTTTGCATTATTTTTTCCATACAACTTTACATTTTCTGTCCCTAGGTAAGCAGTATAACCAGAGGCACATCATTCTCCCTGAAAGTGCTGCATATACAAAATATTATCTATTCTTTACTCCTCGATATGGCCCCAAAGGAGAAGATCAGATTGCTCACTGTCTGAACCCTGAGTATTGAATAAATAACAAGATTTTTTAGGATAGAACAGTGAATGGGGGTGTTACTCAGTTTAGTTTAGAAGAATAACCTAACTATACTTGATTCCATATATTTTCACTTTAAACGTGATTTGTTTTCTGGTTAGCTCTGGATTCTTTATTATGAACGCCCCCCCCCCCCCGTTCTATCCCTCTGCTCCAGTGACTTGAGGCTGCACAAACAAACAAAAGAAGCCACTACACATTTCCAGGCACGATGTGATATGGAAGAAGGCCAGTATCAATATTCCCTCTGTAATTTTGGCTTAAGATTTTCAATCATGTTGGAGGTAGAATTACATGCAGCAGCCTGCTGAATAGTTCTCCTGGTTTGATCCATTGCAAGGGAGGACTGAAAAGTCATTGCCAGCGGCCCAACACTAAAGAAATAATTTGGGCTCATTCACTCAGGACTGATTTCTTTTTCTGAGCAGAATCACATAATGAGGTGAACTGATCAGCTCTTCTACCTAAAAGCCTGAATTCAGACTCTGAGGCTGAGTCTCCTGTGGCTGAGCCACACTGGCCATTTTGAGAAGGAAATAGAAGGACAGAGCAAAGTTAAATGGGAGACCCGAGGGTGGTCAGTCAGACCTCCCCTGTCAAGATGTTGAAATGCTATTTTCTCTCCACTCAGTATCGACAGCTGGGTGATCCGTTACTCATTGGCATGGTGTCTGTGTGTGGGTTTTCACAATTCTGAGAAAAAGAGGGCAGTTTGGCTCCTAGTTACTGTCTGGTCCAAACTGTGCATTGAAGATAATATTCTGCATCATCACTTGATTTCCAGGGATAGAGACTCACTGTCATGGAGGCAGCTTCTGTTTTCCCTGCATTTACCTTCCGCTCATTGACCTGTGAGTTTTATGAGGTCAGGAACCAAGAATGCATGTTCTTAAGAGCTAACGTGCCCTGGGCTTTCCCCATTCTCCACGCACTGCGCTAGGTGCACTGCGTGCATACAGTGCCCTTTAATTTTCACAAGGAAGCTTTACTATCCTTATACCTATTTTAGAGCTGAAGGAACCCCTGAAGGGTCCAGCTCATATCCCCAGCCCTTGTAGGTGCCGTGTTGTGTTCCCTCATATAGCTTTATGTATCAGTGTAGCACTTTTCTCAGGTGGAATAAACGATGATTTGTATGTGGAGTCAGGCTACCAGTCTGGCCCTGCTCCTCTCTCGCTCCTTGCCCTTCAGCATGTGATCTAATCTCTTTGCCTTAAACGTCTACAAAATCTGTGAGCATTTAGCTGTACTGAAGGGCTATGGCAGAGTTCATCTAACAGGAGGTTTGTTGTTGTTATTGTGGTTGTTTTTGTTGGATAGGGATATGGATATGAGGGAACTATGAAGCTACAAAGAAAATAAAACAATAGAATCAATTATAAGAAAAAGTACATAAAAAGCGAGCCACTTATCTATGAAAGTCATGAATTAATTCAGATTTCACTCTGACCACAGCAATTTGGATATTGCACTTGAAAGCCATAATACAGCAACGAACATACCAAATATCACAGTGGTTTAATGAGCACTTGGCAGGAGAGGATGAGGATGCAAGATGACTTGACCCTAACATTCCATAATGTGTAAGGTGCTGCACACTGAATGCTCAAGGGAAGGAGGGCGTACAGCCTGGCTTCTGTGGGCCCTGGGAGGTCTTCATAGATGGGCTACAAGAGAACCATGAGTGCCTTGAACTTGGAAGGCCTCCAGGACATGCATATTTGAGGGTGCTTTTGCTTTGCTTTGTTTTCTAAGAAGGAACCTATAGGTTTTTAAAATTATATTCTAATTTAAGAAATCACTTCATAAAAGATTAAGAAATATTTATGTCCATGTTTGATTCTGAAATATGAAACAGAACACTTATTGACCCTCTCTTTGACCCCAGTAATACCCTTGGGTGTCTTTATTCATTCATTCAACCAATAATAAGCAAGAAACCACACTTCTCCCAGCACAGGGATACATTAGTAAAAAATAGGGTCAGCAGCTCCTGCTTTGATGGAGCTGGCATTCTAATTGGAGGTGGGAGCCCATTGGTAGTGAAGATGTAATATGAGTAAACAAGATACCTTCAGGTGGGATATGGGCTTCCAAGCAAATAAAAGCAGACAATGTGATAGGATGGAATGTCCTGAGCTCCATGGGATGTAAAAGCTGAGTTCACGTGTGGTGTATCACTCACCGTTCATGATGAACCCCGTGGGAGAAGGGGACGGTCCCCACTTTACACATTCACTGCCTGAGGGATGGAAAGGTTGAGCACCTTGACCTTGGTCAACAAGGGCTATGAGGGCAGAACTACATTATGAGCCAGGTTCAGGGCAACGTAGCCATTGCTTTTACCGTTCAAGAGGCTCTTCTGCCTGGGGAGATTAACTTTCACCTGGATCTGGGAGGAGATGGTGATAGCCATGGTGACTTCTAGGGTTTCCTCGGTTCTTCCTGTACAAAAATACTAGTGAAAAGGAACTGCCCATGGCCTCAGCTGAGGCTCTTGCCAGCTGGATAGCTCAGGGGCACCCTAGAATCCCCGTGAAATCAGCAAGTGTGTACATTTAGCTGAAAGACCAACCACGGAAGTTGATTTGATTCCTTTGAGGAATCAAAGAAAGGAAGGCCCATTGCCACTCACCGCTACAAGCTTGAGCTTTGTAGAGCAGTTTCTTTTGCTTCTGGACCCTCAGACCCACAGGAATGGCCAGCCCAGGTAGCCTTCCCCTTAGGAAGAGCTCACCTTGGCATCGATAAAGAGGAGGGGTCTGTCTACACCAAGGAGAAGCTCTGGAGAGACACAGATGTTCCAGTTCTGCTCTTTAAAAGTTCTTTCCCCTTCAGTCTCATTTTCCCACCTATATGAAGGGCATAATAATAGGTTAACATTGTTCCAAAGGTTCAGGGACTTCAGGGAGTTCTTGTGGGAATTACATAAGATCATGTAAATAAAGGAAATTCATCTAAATTCGGGATCATACTGTATTCTTGGTAAATGTCACTTACTGTTATTAACAGCTCCTGACAGTCACTACTCCAGTAGAGTTTCCTCAAGTCTAATTGACTTTTGATTGACTTTTGATTGAATCAAGTCTTTTGATTCCAAAATGCTTCCTATGAGATTCCTGGAAGTTCCTCCAGGGTTGCACTTCTCATCAGCCTCCCACCAGTGGAAAAGTAACACAGGGTTCTGCTACTCACAACCCCCATCAACCCATTACTCACTCTGTGCCAAGTGCTGGCCATACGTTAAGAAGCCATAAATTAGCAATACCCACCTCTGTCCCCTGAGAGCTCAGTGTTTGGAGGGGAGAGCCAGTCATGGAGAAAAGTAAGCCAATATAATGAGATCAGCACAGCAATGAAAGGCTGTATAAGGAACTGGGTGGACTTTAGCTAAAGTCTAGTATTCACCTTGTGCGATTGTGTAGACTTGGGGAAGGTTTTTTTTTTTTTTTTTTACTGTTCTGAGCTTTAGTTTCCAGTCTGCAAAATGGGGACAGTAATAAAAGCTACCACCCAGGGTTGTCCTGCGGATTAAATGCAGTGCTGTTCACTATATATTTAGCACCAGCACAAAGGAGGGCCTCAATAGGTAGAAATACTACTAACAGAGAAGGTAGCCAGTGCTGGTGTTGTGGGAAGGGTGGTCATCTGGATAGCTTCATGGAGAAGGGGGCATCTGAGCTGAACTTTGGAAGAAAGTGAAAGATTTGCCAAAAGGAAAGGAAGTCCAGGGAAAGCCAGCTGCAGAAATAGCAGGCACAAAGACATAGGGGTGTGAGCATGCACTTCCCTAAGTTTTTCCTGCCAGTTTTTCAGGATGACTGCAGACGTAACATGGACAGGCCCTGGCCAGGCTTCCTTCCTCCTTGTCTCTCTCACTGTCTCAGCTCCCACTGCTGCACTTTATTATTGCAGGCCGATTAATGGTCTCCTCTCTGGGACAGACTGCTGCCACCATCAAGGTGGAGGCCACCGATTCCATTATCCAAGGTGTCCAGATGATTTATGGGCCTGGGAGAGAGGAGAGGAGAAGACGGCGAGGACTGGAGCCCCAGACTGCACACAGAGAAGTCTAAGCACAGACTTTTCCCTGCCCAGAGCCTCAGGGAGGGTATGGGGGGTACTGCTTATATCTATGCCAGGATTCCTGAGGACAAGGAAAGAAGTGAGGGGTCCACCGGAAAGCCCTGTGTGCTTGGGTGAGTTGCTTGCCCCTCCCTTGGACTCTGCATTGCCCCCGTTGCTGTCAAGTATGCTGGGGCAGAGTGATTTGCTCCTGGGATCCAGGGCTCTCTCCTGAATTAGGCTAGCCCAGGCACCAACCGGGATGCCCTGGCTGCTGAGGCAGCGGTGCCTGAGATCCTTGGGAACATGCTGATTCTGTCCCCACCTGCCTCATCCACTGGAACTCCTTGTTACCGAGGTCTGAATAGTGCCAGGATCGGCCCTCACCTTTCTACTTCATCAGCCCCTGGCTAGGTGGACAGGTGGCTCCTGGTAGACACCACGCCAGCCACACACGGAGGTTATGGCAGCCATGTTCCAAAATACCCACCGCGGGCCGGCCTGCCAAGCCCCCAGAGTTGCAACAAGCCCACCTCCAGGCTACTCTGGCATCTCTTGGCCCCTCCGCACCCTTCCCTACACACCACAAATGATCTTTATTATCTTTGGACCAAGGTCTGAAACATCGCCATTGTAGCTTCCTGCCAGCTCCCTTTGCCACTAAAATGTCCTCTCCAAGCCTTCTAAGCCCTGTCACTTATAGCACTGGCCATTTTAAATTTTTAGGAAGTACAAACAGTTTGAAAGCATGAATTGATTCAGTGCCTGGAATCTGAAACCGAGAAGAGGCTCAGTACACCATCCTAGAAAGGAGGGAGTCATTTTGATGTAATGAAAAGATATTTGGAATAGGACAGGCTTGTGTGACCTTAGGCAAAAATATTTCACCTTTCTTAGCTTCAGTTTCTTCCTGTGTATACTGGGGTTAATAACCCTAAAACCTCGCACGTGGATTAAATAACTGACATAAAATGAAGAGTACAGAGTCTGGTTCATTAATACTACTCAGCAAATGCTAGCTTTTCTGTTGGAATAAAAGAAAAACCCATACTTCAGCCAAGCTGTAATTTCCTCATTCTTGACTATGGGAACTGAAATTCCCAAGAAGTCCTTAAAGGCAGGGCACAAGTTGGTCAAGTGGAAGGTGATTTTAAAGAATGAAGAAAGGCTCTATGTCATTGTTTTATCTTAATTAGATGGACTGATACTTTCCTGGGCTCTTCCTTCCACCTAAGTGATGTTCTAAATTTGAAGGAGAGAATGAGTCTTCAACCAACCAACTTCCCTGGTTCTGGGGTGAGGAGAGTAGTAAGAAAGATGAGTAGATAGAAAAAAATAGAGCTGAAATGTTTCGTCAAATAAACTGTATAACCTGTAAAACTGAAGTAACAGGGTTTTTTGAGCTTTAACTGCAAATGTGTAAAAGATTATTTGTATCATCAAAGAATAAAAGCTATGATATTTAGAACTTGGATAAAGGTCACAAGTAAGTGAGTTAGGAAAAAAAGCAATATTGTGTACCATGGACAGTTCCCGATGATTTAAGTCCCTCCTTGAACCTGTCATGACTTAGTCCACTCCCTCTGTGCTTCCCCATGCCCAGATTGGAGACCGGGTCATGGCGTTTGTCAATTATAATGCCTGGGCAGAGGTGGTCTGCACACCCGTGGAGTTTGTCTACAAGATCCCAGAGGATATGAGCTTCTACGAGGCTGCTGCGTTCCCCATGAACTTCGTCACGGCCTACATGATGCTCTTCGAAGTCGCCAACCTCCGGGAAGGGATGTCTGTTCTGGTGCACTCGGCGGGTGGAGGAGTGGTAAGTTGGCCACTTGTAAGTCACCTTCCTCAAGGTCATAACGGTGGAAGTGCAGGGACACCCATTTGGCAAAGGGATTTTTGTGTCGTGGCCATTAGCAAGAGTCCTCTGTGGTTCTGGTGGTGCTCAACAGATGGGAGAAGTCATTGAGGTGATTGCATTCGGGGTAGAGTGACCCTCCGAGATGCTTTCTGTGGGTCTTAGGAAGATGGACACAGTGGTTGTCAGAGCCAGTTTCTGCCAAGAAGCACCCTCAGTCATGTTATTGTGATGAACTGTGTCAGTCCATGAAAGATCCCTCACAAGCCATGTCCTACTAATATTTTAAATGCCAAAATGGTGAACAGTTAACTTTTCAATAAATTACAGTGGGCTCGAGATGGTTCCCATATTAATGACATTCTCATCCATTTGTATTCTGGCCCATTTTCTCTAATGGGAGTGAAGTGGAGAGAGATTACGCTAACACACAGCGAGTACTTTGTGTGCTGTCGTTCAGGTGTGTCTTTGTCAAGGAGGAAAATAATGGCAATCAAAATGGCTGCCCTGGTGTTCAAGAGCAGCACAATTCTTTCCTGTGGTTTGAATGTGTCTGATTTGAATGTGGTTTGAATGAGTGCCAGTCATTCTGTGTTTATTTTATTCCTGGCATGGTCTATGGGGTTTAGGTGGAACTCTAGTCGTTGTGAGAGTGAGTTATTACTAATTCAACAAATACTTACTGAACACATCTCATGTTCCAGACCCTGTGGTTACAAAGGTCCATAGGTGGGGTCCTGACACACCAACTGACGGGTTGGAAAGTTCTGAGTTGGAGATTTTGTGATTTGATGAACTCAGAGATGAACTCTGAAGATTCAGTTTATCTCAGAAGAGATATCTTCCCTGGAGGTTTTACTAACATCGATTTTTAAAACCAATCTTGGCCTTTTACAGCTATCGGAACCTTATGCAGGGCAAAGCACATTTCTGTTTTTCCTTTCCCAGGAAACAAGTTTACATCCAAAACCGTGACAGCAAAGATATGAAAGTTTAGGGATGCCTTAAGGAGAGTACTTTTGATCACGTTAGCAAATTTGCTGACCATGAGTAAAGATACAATAAAAGTTAAGCAGCCCTCAAGAAAGAAATGGGTTTCAGTCCCAGCAATCTGCTAACAGCAAGCAAGCCATTTAGAATGTTGGCATTTATGAGCTTAGTGTGCTCTGCATGCAAACCATTAGAGACTTGTTTTCATATTATCAACGTAAGCTTCTGCTTTATAACAATGCTGCCAAGAGTCAGTGTTTATACATTGGCACCGGGGCTGATTCATTTCATGCTTATTTTTGGTATCCATTTATGTGTTTTCCTGGAACAAAGAGAATGTATCAGGACCATGTCTTACATAAAGGAAAAGTCTTGGAAAATGACAAAAGTTTTTACTATACCTTATTCTTAGCTTACAGACATGAGCAAGAAATAAGAGCTAAAATATAAAACAGATGAGTAAGAAGGGAAAAAGACAATGAAGCAAGGAAAACAAGTTAGTGCACACAACACAGGGTATGTTGTTCCAAAGCTCTGTTGTAGATGGACAGTTTTGTCACTTGGCTTCCAAACAGCGCACAAAAATCAGGCAAAATCCATGTGAGCTAGTGTTCATTTGATGGAAACAGAGCCGTTACTAGAGAAAACTGTGCCTAGTGCTAGATTTTGAGACTCAAAGAATAGTTCTCATAAGAAATGTATGCTGAAAAGCAGTGATCACCCTCAGTACAACTCTTGTAGTAATATATCTGTTTCCATAAAGCTTTTTTGTACACAGTGCTCCTAATGTAGTAGGATCAAAGTCAAGTCAGATTTAGTGAAAGCAGATATCCTGGGGCCAAAAGGATGTGGTCTGGCTTCAGCTTTAGATAGAGATCCCAGGTACGGTTGGACTGCCGAGCTCCCAGGCGGGACGGGCTCCCTGAGCACCATTTCTCTCACCAGCCACATTTGATAGTGTTCCAGTCACTGCTAGAGAAAGGAGTTTGTGGATCGGTGTGTGGGTGGCTGGGCTGGGCCGTTTCGAGATGAGGTTTTGCTATGTTGCCTAGGATGATCTCAAACTGAGTAACTCCAGTGATACTCCTGCCTCAGCTGCCTGTGAGGCTGGGAATGTAGGTGTATTCCACCATGACCGGCTGTGAACACCCATCTCAGCTGGGGTATAGTTGACAGTGCCCTGTGAAAATGACACGGTGAGCCTTGGTCACTCTACCCCGCAGTGGAAAGGCCAGAGAGCCACTCCGCTCAGTTTGAATTAGAGTCTTCTCAAGAAAGGGACTGTCCACTTGTGCCAGATAATCTAGATTATCACCTTGACTGGATTAAGACGCTCTTGGAGAGGTAACTGAGCCCATAGCTGAATGGGCTATTAGGAGACAGGTCTCTTTGAAGGAAATGGCTCATAGGGCATGAGCTTGGGAACCAAATACAGTCCCTGGCCCCTTCCTTTTGGGTGCTGCTTCTGCTGTTCTCTACTTTCCAGACGCCATGAGTTGAGCAGCTTTCCTCCACCATGCCTTTCTGCCATGATGATCCTGCCTTGGAGCCAGCTAACCATGGAGTGAAACCTCTGAAACCATGAGCTACAATCAGCTTCTCCTCCACTAAGTTGTCTATGTCAGGTGCTTGGTCCCAGAGATAAAAAGCTGACCAATACACCCTTGTTTTCATGGTAGGGGAGCCCCATGATGGTACTTTTCTCCCCATTATCAATGAGTATAACATCTTGGAGAGGGAGGGAAGAGCTTCCCATCACCATTGACAAATCTGGGAAGTACAGCCACACATTACGTGGTTGCTGTGGTAGACGGGACAACAGCACAACGTCTGCCTCCTGCAGATGTCTACATCTGAATCCCTGGTACCCATGAGTATGTTACCTTACATTGGAAAAGGAATTTTACAGGTGTGATTGACGTAAAGACCCTGAGATAGAGAGATTGTTGTGGATTATCCAGTGGACCCAGTGTCACAAGGGTCCTTAAAGATGGAATAGTGAGGCAGCAGAGCCAGGGAGAGGTTTAAAGCTGCTGGAACACTGGCTTTGATGATGAAGGAAGAGGCCATGTGCTAAAGGGTACAGGTGAGTCTAGCAGAGACAGGAAGTGGATTCTCCTCAGAGCCTTCAGAAGGAACACACCCCTGCCATCACCGTCATTTGCGCCAAGGGAAGCCCATCCAGTACTGTAAAATAACAACTCTATGTTTTTTTAGTCACTCAGTTAGTAGTCATCTGTTAGAGTAGCAAATCAGAGTAAAGTAGCTCAGCTTCCTTAAGCTGCCTCCCTCCCTCTGTTTTCACTATGGAGCCCCTACAGGAGCCCCCACCGCTCTGTCAAATCTGGGAAGGTGTTGTTTTCCTCCGACTGTCGCACATCCACACCTCTAATAATGTCTTCAGTACCTGGTTGGAAATTGGCTCAGAATCCCCTATAGGGAAAGTAACAAAATAAGCTATGGAGTGGGACTCCTGCCGGGGGCTCCCAGGGCGGTGCTGCCTGTCAATCTCTTTTAGCAATCCGTCAGTCAAGCAACTTGGACTCGGAGCATCTTGACTGGGTGGTGCTCAGTTCCTGGAGGGTTCCATGACTGTTACTAGAAGGCTGTTTGGCTCTCCATCTGCATTTGATGCTTTGCAGCTCCCAGCGCCCTTCCCCTTGATGTTCAGATTGTCTGAGCATCGACACTTGCAGGCAGTGAGCATTGATCCTGAGCGGGAGCCCATGGTGAGAGCTGTTGGGATGAGCGAAGGTCAGGGCCACAGTTTGCCCCTGGCTGTGACCTGTGTTGGTTGCTGGTGTTGCTCCACCACCTGGCGCCTTAGCATCAGACAGACAGGGCTGGAATCTGCCTTCCAGAGCTACCTCTTGAGAAAATGGGGAAGTAAGGAGAGATCGGTGGCTTCCTCCACACACCCTGCCTCCGGCCACCCTGAACTAGCTGCTCGTTCTCCTCAGAACATACTCAGTGCTTTGAACTTTGTCCCCTGTGTTTACTGTTTCTTCTTGCCAGAATGCTCTTTTCTCCCATTCAAATGTCACCTCCTCTGAGAAACCACACTGTACTTCTTTGTCTAGGTGACCTTCACCCTCTCATGAAAGCCACAGGGGAATCCTTATAGCTGGTCATTTGCATGTGGACTCAACTTCAGAGCAGCATTTCAAGGCCAGAGCTAGCATCTGCCGAAGGCCTGGTTGTGTGGTACGAAGAACCTGAACTTAACCCTCAGCTCCACCATTTAGTAGCTCGGCCAGGGTGGGCAAGTTAATTTCTGTGAAATGGAAATGATGCTAACAATCATGTGCTTATTAAATGAGACACAGAGGGCTTAGCATAGTACCTCACATATCTATGGTCTTTATGTGGTAAGAAGAGAGGGAGAAAAGGAGAAAGAAAGTGAGAAGGAAGAGGAGGGAGAGAGAGAGAGAGGGAGAGAGAGAGAGGGATATTTCTTGACATCCATAGTACTTAGCATAACTTTGAACCCAAAGCATGCAGTGAATAAATGATTATTGAGTCACTTCTGGCCAAATATTTGATGCAAAAACCAAAACCAAAACTACTTCCATATACACCTTATACTCCCTGAGATGATACAATGAAAATAGCACTTCTGTCATGTTCTTCCCCCAAACCAATAACCCAGCGAAATTACGATAACACATCAAACAGGCCCAGATTGAGGGAAGCTGTATAAATATCTGATCAGTACTTTGCAAACCTGCCAAGCCAATTAAAGTAAAAAAAAAAAAAAGAAATGGTCACAGATATGAGGAGACAAAGGAGCCATGACAAATAAGGGCATATGGTACCCAGCATTGGATCTGGGCACTGAAAATGGACTTTAATGGAAAAGCTGATGAGATCCAAATGAGCTATGTAGTTTAGTTACTAATACAGTGTCCATTCCTCAGTTTTCAGTGCACGCTATAGCAGGGTAGAGCATTACCATTAAGGAATCGGAGCAC